GAACTGCTCATAACCTTTCCCTGCATCTCATCATATCTCATTCATTTCTGGAGTAGTGGTCACCTGAATGTTTCAGGTTCTATCGTTTCTTCTATAGCTGTGACAAGCAGGCGGACGTGGTTTAGCATGTCTGGTGGTATCGATCCTTCGGACCGAACTGTAGGTGTTGAGCCGGGCTACCGCACGATCTCGCGCTGTCGGGCTGAGGTCGCCACGTGCGACTATCCACATGGATGCTCGAGATCGGGCGTCATCTCCTGGTGTTAACTAGGGCCAGGAGCAAAGCCAAGTGAAAGCTGGGTCTGTTGAGCCTTGAGCACTCCTACGTCTAGCGGTCTAGCGGAGTCTAGCGTTAGCAGAGTCAGGAGTCAGACTCAATTCTAAGGCCTTGCTCATGATCTTGGAAGCAATGGATCCGAACGCCACTTCCAGAGCAGGCCATGACCCAGTCTTGAACTCTGGAAATGAGACTCGCCGTCTGGTCAGAGACTGAACGATCGACCAAACCGAAAGCGGCTTTCCCCGGCTGCGCCCAACTCCATTCCGCATACCCTTTGACCACGGCACCTCCAGCAGCAACAGCCAGAACATCTCCCGCAGGGGAGAAGGCAAGCCCATGCACCTGAAAAGATGTAGCGCTGATCGTGATTGTGCTCTTCGTTCCTCCTGCTCCTCCTCCTCGAACGGCGGCAGTGGGGCAGCTGCTGCTTTTGCGCTCAAAAATTTCATCCGTTGGTGATGATGATGACGATGATGATGAGGAGGGGCTGGGGAGAGCATTGGGTCCATGCCAGGAATTCAGCTGGTCTCGTGAGACCCATCTGGTGCTTTTGCAGGCCTATCTGACACCCTTCCGGGGCACAACAAACAGCAAAAGTAGTGACAACGAACCACCTGGAAGATCCCACCTGCGTCTTACAGTCTTGCGCTGCCAAAGCTTCAGCTGAGAACGCATCGTCTTCTCCTTACTACGTGCCATTCTCCTACAGCACAGCTGAAATGCACGAATTATGAATGCATGCGTCAGGCCTGAGGCAAGAAGGATTCAGAGAAATCGACATCCCACTTCGACTTCTGAAGGTAAATCCAGATCGGGCCATGGCCTGCCCGGTCATCACCAGCTGTCTGGGATCCTCTGCTCTCGCCAGGAGCGACGGCTGTGGCGCTGCAGTGATCCACTTCTGCCATTGACAGCAAAACACATCCCGTGGCCCGTGGTCCTTGTTGTCGGACAAATGGCAAACAAGGACCTGCCATGACGCAGCATGCAAGACGCTTCTGACTTCACTGGGGCGTGCGAGTAGCTTGTAGTGTTAGCTCATTTCCTTCAGGGGATCTCGAACAGAGCTGCTTTCAAAAGCTGATCTGTAGTGTTTACGGTCGGAAAATCAAAGGAGAGGCAAGTTCATGCCAAGATCGCACACAATAGCGTCTCCACAATCGTCAATCGACAGCTAGCTAGGCGGTAGCACCCAGATGAAAAATAAGAGTGTCTGACTAAGTATGCAGAGAATCCTTGTATTTCGAGCCCACAAACGCATCCTGCCATGAAACGCACAACAAGCCGATTGCAACTTAGCAGGTCAGGAAGCCCGCACCAAGGGCAAGGCCTTGTCCCCCAGACCGACAGCCAGGAAGTTCATCGCCGAGAGGGCCAACTTCGAGACGTTGCACTCTACCTTCTCAGACCACAAACGAATCTCCGCTCACTTCAGCGCGATGCCCGTGAGAGCGCTACATAACTGAAGCACTCGTTCGAGAGGTTCGAGATTCTTTCTTCGGGTTTATCTGCCGGGCATGTAGAACAGCGCCTGCACAAAATCCCACTGCGCTTCACATCAAGATGCTGCGGGTGCCAGCCTTGCGACTTAGGATTGGTTCTTCTCGAGCAGCTGTCAGTCGATAAACCTGGCGGGAGACAAGCACAAGCAGTTTCTGACATCGGCATGTCGAGGCATCTGTGCAAAAGCACATTTAATATCGTGGATGCGCACAGGCACATGTAGCTGCTCGTGCGAATGAAGGGGGGTAAAGGTGCACGCACGCGGGTCCCTACGTAGCACATGCGCAATCGAATATGAATTGTCTGTGTGCCCAAACGAGCAAAAACACATAGAGATACACCTGTATGTCTGTATGGAGTTCTTTATGCATATAATTAACATCTGTTGCATATTTGTGCACATGCACTTTCAGCGATGCAATGGGATGTAATCCAAGGCAAGGTATGGTGTTGCATGGCATGGCGTAGCATGGCGTAGCATGGCATGACACAGCACAGTACTGCAACCGCGTGTGTGTGTGTGTGTGTATGTATACTCAAAAAATGTGTGTGTGTGTGTATATATATAATTATATATATATATATGCGTGTGTTGGGGCTTGCGTGCGTGTCAGCATGTACGTATACATGCATGTTTCTTGCGCATGTCTGCGTCGATGCCTGTGCCTATGGGTGGGTGTCAATATGTCGGGGCGTCTATACGTCTATGTGGGGTTGTGTGTGTGTGTGTGCTTGAATGCATGCAAATATGTATGTACGTGTCTATCTATGGCTGTGTCTGCCCCTATGCCTGTTCCCATGGCAATCTGCCCATGTGTATCATAGTGTCTGTGTGTATGTGCGTGTAGGTGTATTCCTGCATGTGTGTTATGTATGTACACATGCGCGTAAGTCTGTGTAGTTGTGCATACCTCTGTTTGTGTTTATGCCTAGGCCGGTGCCTATGGCCATGTGTCCATGTGTTCATGTGCTTATGTGTGTATGCGTGTATATGTGTGCGCACTTATGCATGTATGCGTGTATGTATGACATGGTACGGTATGAGGGCGTGTCGGTCTGTCGGCACGTAGGTATGTACATGTCTGTGCGTCTTTGTGGCGCCTATCTCCATGCTTATGCCTCGAGCAATGCGTCCATGAGCTTATGTGCATGTGCGTGTGTGTGTGTGTGTGTGTGTGTGTGCGTCTGTGTGTAGTCGTGTATGTGTGTCTGGCTGTCTGTCTATGCTCTATGAAACAGCCAATACCAGGCTCATAGCAGTATGTCCATGTGCCTACGTGTGCGTCTGTGTGTGCTCTTGCGAGTATGTGGGTATATGTGTATGTGCCTACGTATGTACGTACGTACGCATGCATGTATGTAGTGTATGTACTGTATGTACTGTATGTATTGTATGTGTATGTTTTTATACATATAATATATATATATATATATATTTATATCTATATATTTATGCATGCATGCATGCATGTGCGTATGTTTGTGTACCGAATGACTGTATGCATGTATGTATGTGTGCATGCTATGTATGTTCTCTATGTGACGTGTGTGTACATATACATATCCATATACATGTACATATACATATACATATATACATATTTACATATTTACATATTTACATATATACATATATGCATATATACATACATATATACATATATACATATATACATATATACATATAAATATGTACATACATATCATGTCTGTTGGTGTATGTATGTATGTATGTGTGCATATATTGTCTGGTCCGGTATGGTTCGGTCTGTGCCAGGAAAGCTGATCTAACAATGCCCTTAAGGCGACCGCAGCCTTCCACATTCCGGATCCGTGAATCTCAAATCCCGCGCTTAGCATGGCACCATGACGGTGTTCTCGCTGGCTGCCGCAACAAACCCACCGCAGGGTGAGACTGCCTTCGAGAGCAGAACAAGTTGAAGATTGAGGTGAGCGCTGGATGATTGAAGATCGCAGGGATTCTGGGCTATCGTTCAGATCTGGATCAGGGACTTGGAGTGCCAGCTCAACGTGTCGAAAAGCTAGCATGACTCGTGTATTCATGTTGCGACTTCAACTTAAAGTGGTACTGCATGCCTTCTGAGCTAACCACAGTTGCTCCGGTCTTCTCGGTTGGAGGTTTCAATCTATTAACTTCTATTCGAGAACCACTCAAAACTCAGAAGCCTCGCCCCCAGCAACCATGAATCGAACAGAGCTCGTAAGCTCGGGCCGTTTTGAAAGGAAGCCGAACCACGCTGGAGCCAAGTCACAAGGACCGTCGCCGGTTTGGGAAGCCCAATTTCACGCAGGCGATGTCTCTGGTGTACCTGACCGGACTTCCAAGCCTCGAGATCAGTCTGTAAAGCAAGGGGATGCACATGACACAGGCCCCAAGCCTAAGACGGAGTTTGAGGTGGTTCAACAGAAACACTTTCGAGGGCGATCGAAAGCACATCCGGGAGGATTGCCAGCTTTTCGCCGGAAGCATTGCCAGTGAGCCTGCAGCTCGACGACGCTTCTGCCCGCAACCATGATGGACTGGTCGTGCGGCCTTGTTCTGCGTTGCTTGCATAGCGACCAGCCCAGTCAAGTCAACACTGCGAGAACGTCAACTGAATTTACCGAAGGGTTCGCACCCGAAGAGGCCGTGTTTCCTCATGCTCCAAGCTCAGACTCTTGATCGGCGGTGGGACTCCAAGGGGGTACAAGCCCCGGAAAACCCGACCGAAGCCAAGAGCGTGGCATGAAAACGCAGGCGGAGAGATCCCCGTTATCTTGCATCATTGAAGTGGCCTTGCAGGCCGGACGGATCTGCTGGAAGGCTTTCTTCTATCTTGCAAGAACGTGGGCAACATGGCTGGGACGAATTGCTCGGGACCAGAAAAATCTTCAACAAAATCAGATCTGGGTCCCAAACGGCATGTGCTAATTGCAAGCCTGAGCCAGCAGTGCAAACCAGTGCGCATGAGGCTCGATGAGGTCAGTCTAGTTTCCTGTCCTCAAGAACTTGCAACGCAAACCCGATAAAGCTTGCAGAAGTGCAATTTCCCTCAGCATACTGGCTTGGACTGCTGCGGTACGGCGTAATTGCTGGGGCTCTGGCCTTGCGTCCGCTGGCCCAAATTGAGTGATGTCGAGTCGGCATCCACTCGATCTTGGCAACTCTTCCGGCCGCATATGCTCTTCTTGAAGCTGACTGCTCCACAGATGGGCGTTACTCATCAAAGGGTGCGGAACGCTGCTCTGTATCCAAGGGTACGGTCGACAAAGCCCGGCGTCCCGGCCGCGCTGAATCTGCACGACGAAACCCTGTCGTGTTGCAGCGCTTCAACTTGACAGCAAGGATTCCCGGAAGTTCTCTGGAAGCCTGATAGAGATGTGATCGTGACGCTTTGAAGGTTTGACAACGAGTAAGAGTGTAAGATGTCGATCTGAAGCAAGCTGAACTGTGGTGCCAAGCTGCCTCGCCGCGGTCGCCTTCCGGGGATGCCGCGGCAGTCTCTAGAGGAGGAGATGCTCCTGGTCACCGAGGGCGTATCGCTGAAGGCTCTGAGAATCAGCTGCGCTACATCTTGAAGCAAATATGGCAAACTCAAGTTGTCGGCCGTCACCCCCGCACTCGGATCCTTTAGGCACCTGGAAGTTAGCCATTCAGAGACCACTGCGTCGACACAACCCCAGGCAGATTCGAAGCAAAGCCACAGAGATGTTGGCAGGCCAACCAAGACACTTCTCTCACATAACAGTACAAGTACAAAGAAGTAGGATTCTTGACGTCTTCGGTCTTGCATCGCAAGTGATGCAAATGGTCCTGTCCCAGATGCACTGGACACCATCTGCACCGACAGGACGAAGGAGGGAGCACTCTCGGTTGCCTCCGAAACCGCAGCTGGGCTGACCTGCAAGAAGGACCCCGAAGAGCAACTCCCCAGTCGACTCTAGGACTCTAGGACTCCGGTGTTTCTAAGAGGGGCTTTAAGGCAAAATCGAGCGCTTCCGGGCCGGGCCTCGACAGCCTCGGAGCTTTGCGAGGGCAGCTCCTCAAGGAGGGCCAGGCCTCAGAGGTCCAAAGCAAGGTCCCAAAATCTTGGGATGCGCTCTGGCGAATGCAAAAAGCGCCACTCCAAGCCTCCACCTGCTAGCAGCTTGCAGTAGCAAACAAATAGTAGCAAAGATCTCAGCCATCAGCATATCTCTTTGCTTTTGGGGTGGCCAAAAGCCAGGACACCTGCTTTGGAAGCTTGAGAAAGGTTCTGCCACCCGATCCGATCCGGAGCGCAGTCCGAGACAGGCCTCGAGAGCTCCAGCTCAAGCTGGAGATGCACTCCTCCACGGACGGAAGTCTCAGTGAGGTGTGACCTGCCCTTTCCCTTTCGAAAAGGCCGCTTGAGGCGGAAATTTAGCATTGACCCCCCCCCCCCCAGCCTGTTTTTTTGCAAGGCAGGTGTTCATACTTGTCCCTTCACTAAGCTAGAGTCGCATTCAGAGCACTCCAATATCCCAAGGCAACCCTGAGCGAATCTCTCGAACCGGTCCTTGCACTCTGATAGCTGGAAGAGGCTTTGCTTCCGCACGAGGTCCCAAACCTCAGAGATCGGGGTCCCTTGTTGGGGAAGCCCCTTACAGATGAGACCCGCTGGCTTTGGTTGCTGCTTGCTTGGGGAAAGAAGGGCCCAGAGTCCGAGCCGTCCGAGCTGCCCGGATCGTTCCATCATCGCCACCCGAAGCCAAGCACCGCAGGCTCGGGCCTCGAAAGAGACGACAGCTTTGAGCCACTTTGCCGTCTTCTGCGACTCCCAGGGTCCCAACTTCTCCGTCCTGAGACCGCGACTCCAGGCCATGGCCTTCACGGAGCTGGCGCACGGCCTCCAGACAGAGTGCAGGGCGCTGTGCTCGGAGCTCCTCCTTCGGTATCTGACTGTACAAGCGCGTGTTAGTGTGCTGAGGCTGAGTACATACATGTACCATCTCAGTGCACTAGACTAGAGCTGATGGGAAGGTACAAAGGTCGGCTTCCCTGTGCCAAGGCTCTATGGGCTTGCACTTACACAGGTATTGACTCTTGGTGAGCTCTGATGGTCTGAACGTCATCCAGAAGACTGGAACCGTAGGTCCGTCAACTTGACGAACTTAGAATCAGGTCAAAACACCAGAAACCCTGCACAGCCCCAAGGCCACTGCAGGTCGAAAGCATGATCGAAGTTCTCCATTTCGAAGACGGACTCAGTGGCATTTCCATGAAATGTGCTGCTGCTAGATGCGTTGGATCCCAAGCGGCTTCAAAACTTCAAGCTCTGCGCTTCGGATGGTGCAATATCTCTCAGGCCACGACGATCAGCTTCCCGTCTCCGGCCGTGGCCAGGCGGGCACCATCCGGCTGGTACCTTTTCGGATACATCGAGTACAGGTTCAAGGGGCCGGCATTCGATTTTAGTTTCAATTGTACGGATTTATGGAGCTCTAGGCGGAAGGTTGGGTAGCTGTGTCTCTCGCAACACAGGTGTGCTTGCTTCTTTTGCGTTTGTGACTTATCCTAAACCTTGCTTTCGCTAGGGCTATGGTGGAGGGTTGTGGCCCTCCACCGCACGCGCGTATGCGCGCCCTCGACAGTTGCGGGTCCTACGTCTCTCTCTCTCTCTCTCTCTCGCGCGCTTTCTCTCTGGTGCGCCTGTTTCTGGGTCGGCGTCTGTCTGTCTCGCTCTTCTCCCTGGCAGAAGGGGCGAGTCAAGCCCCCATGACAAGCCCGCCCGCTTGTATTTGGGCCTGTCGGGACAGGAACCGGACAGTAGGCTCTCATGTCTCGCCATGTGCTTTCTGGCCCTTCTCCCAGTATGTTGCATGACGCACCAAGAATGTCAAGGAGCTCCTTCACTTCACATGAGAACATGGAAGACTCGACATCGAATGCATGCTGCTCCATCGTCCGCATCTCAGCAGGATCTAAAATCAGAGACCAGGCAGACTCCTAGAAAACCACCAGAACAGTCATTCCCCACACAAAACTTGACGCCGCGAGACTCTGTCTCTCCGTCTTTCTTTCGCCAGGGTTATGGTATAAGGGTTTCTCCGTCTTCTTCTGCAGGGCATGAGGGTTTCTCCGTCTCTCTCTCTCTCTCTCTCTGTAGGTCGCTCTATCTTTCTCTGCCTAAACCCTTGGGACGGACTGCTCCCTACACAATGACCGTAGAAAATGTAGGTTCTCCCTCCTTTGGGGGGTGACAGCGTCTATCTGTTCGTTCGCCCTATGGTCTCGGTCCATCTGTCTGCCCGTTCGTCTTTCCGTCCATCGTCTGTTCGCCCATCTTCTGAGTATCTGCGTCTTTGTTCCTTTGTTCCTTCCTTCATTCTTTCTTGCCTGCAAGGTGAGGGAGCTTACATGATTCATGACTAGATGATTCTATGATTGCACATGTGACTGCGCGACTTTGCTCTGGGAGAGTGATTGCGTCGTCCCGCGTGGGATATCAGAATCAGAAGTCTGCGTTAACGCGGGCCGGGCTGGAGATACGGGCGCACGCGAGAGCATGGACTTTGTCGGCGAACACAATGGAGCCGATCCTTCTCAGACTAGCGGTCTGCAAGCGGCTCAGTGAAGCACCGCAGCAGCAATATGACAATGCCGGAAACTTGTGCAACATGCCGTGCTTGGAAGAAAGATCGTCTCGAGCCGCTCGCCTGCCAAATACCGAGACATCCCATATTACCTGAGATGCAAATGATCAGCGGCACGACGCTCAAGCCGAGATCGACGTATGCAGGTTGCAAACTTCTCAGTCAGACGCTTAACATCGCGTGCAGGCTTCGAAGACGTGTTGGCGACAAGAACCAGAATCTAGGAAAAACATCCTTCTTGCAAAATGCCTCTGTCTGCCTACAAGCCTGCAACCTTAGGCACCTCCATCTTGCATCTCTGTCTGATAAGAAAGAAAGACACAAACAGCAGCAGAAAGCCCGAGTGAGAGCGGCGGAATGTGAGCAAATGGAAATTCACTCACTTCGCACTCCAGCAAGCTCCACCAGCTTGCATTAGCCTCATTAGACAGTCAAGCGCATGATTCTGGCGGGTGGCGCATCCCTCTGCCTCAGGAGCTTCAGCTGGAAGTGAAGGATCCTGGGCGAGATGGACATCTGCCGCACTTCGCATGCGATGCCGTTTCCCAAATGCTAGATCGACAACCGCTGTTACACGATAGGCACACAAAAGGAAACGGATACATGCAGAGCCACCAATGCTCGCAGAGGCATCACGCTCGAAACTGAAGTTGTAAGAGCATCTCGCCAGCTGGAGCAACGAACAACAAGGCCGGAAATGGCTATGACCAATTGCAAGAAGGCGACAAGGCGATGTTCTGTACTCAGACATGACATGCTTGCAAGCTCCAGGGCACAGCATGCCCTTGGTAGCACTGAGGAGTCGCATTGCTTCGAGAAAGCTGCTCAGGCCAGCACTGCAGCTCCACCCACGGCGACAAGCCTAACGCTTTGCAGTGCGATGGTCGCTAGCATTGGTCACGAACAAACTGCATAGCTACTCCAGAGAGCTTTAGCAATAAGGGCCCAGAATGGGTTCTAGCTGACTAAAGCCGGGCTATGGCAGGGTGGCATGCAGGAGATGTCTGAATTCGCCAGTATAATTGCATGGCTGGCGGCTAGCCCCATGACCGCAACCCTGGCTTCCAGGAGAGCCCTGCTTAGCTTAGCAAAGGCTTCTCTGTTGTCGGGCAACACCGTGGTGTCCGGAGAGGCGCAAAGTGCAGATACCCCAGGCTGCACCAGCTCGACAACCTCCTGTGGGTCACAGCCAAGCTCTCAGAAGCTGTGGGAGCTGAGATATCTGCGATTTAAACGTAAACTTGGACCAAGCCCCTGAGGCAGAAGATCGTCTCTCTCTCTCTCTCTCTCTCTCTCTCTCTCTCTCTCTCTCTTTCTCTCCCTGGCTTTCGTTCTCATACATGAACAAAGCTCCCTATCTGAATGCTCGAGAAGTTAAGCAACTCCCTGGTTCGGATGCTTCTTGCTGTCCTGAAACTCAGGAATTGCGAAGAGCCGCACCTCAGACCGAAAAGGAGTCTTCTATAGAGATTCTAGATACAGGTATAGGTCTCGTATTTGGGTCCAAATATAGAGATAGATATAGATGTAGATAAAGCCAGAAATATGGGCAAAGGCACAGGTACGGTATGCGTATGAATATTAGGGATTAGGCATGTGGTATTAGGTATTACGACAAGGTGTCAATATTGGAAAAGGTCGGCGCTAGGTACGAGGATTTACGTATCAGACGTTGGATCTGAGATGCTTGGCAATAGCCATAGTGCCAATATGTATGTATGCATGTGTTGTGTGCTACATACTATACCCAATAGGTTGTATGTTATGCCTCATCTGCCATGTAGTACATGCTGTACAGTTGATGCTAGACATTATGTGATATGCGCAACACATTGTACTTGACACACTGTTACATGTGATGCCGTATTTATTGTGTGTATACATAATGTATACATAAATATATATATATATATATGTATGTATGTATATGTATATGTATATGCATATGCATATGCATATGCATATGCATATGCATGTGCATGCGCATGTGCATGTGCATGTGCATATGCATATGCATATGTATATGTATATGTATATGTATATGTATACGTATGTAAGATGCTTCAACTGTTGAACAAGTGTGGCAACATACAACATGACCTGATGTATCTGCATATCATCTATATAGATATACATATAGTATCATATATGTATAGACTGTCTAGATATATGTGCGAATTACGCATACGTACTTTCACACAGGCATACATACATACATGTCTACACTACATGATGGTCGAATTCAATACTATTTGCAATTCAATGTACCAGACCTGAAAGCAAACTTGGATATGGTTCCCTTCTTCAGGTTTTACAAATCAGTTCATGACTAGAGAGAGAACACGAGGTACTTTGGCCCGAATCGCCGAACACATCTCGGGCAGGAGCAGACTCAGCGAGGGCCACGGCGAGCTTGTCATCGGCGATAAATCTAAGCACCATCACCTGCCGCGCGGTGCAGGCGGATAAGAATTGGGTGAGGTTATCATCTGATGCACACATCCGAGCCAGGCATCAATCGCAGCGAATACTGCCCTCCAAGATCCACTTAGATACATACATGAGGCATCCGCGAGAACATCCCTGGGGCACCGGATATCTAGGCTGGGCTTAGCGGTGGCAATGCTGTTGCTGCCGACAACATGTCTGGAATAGTACATGAATAAGGCTTTGACTTTCAGCAGCCAATAAGCGCGCGAGCCAAAGACCCTGACTCTCACCTCAAAACAGAGCATACCCCTGGCATAATCAAGAGCCTCGTCTGGCATCTCCCTTGTCGCGGATTTCGAGGTGTTTGTGTCCCAAACATAGATCCGGCCTGCATGCCGTATCTGCGCATCAAACCATGAACCCGCAAGGCCTGTCAAGTAGTCGTACTCCTGTCTTCGCAGCACTGAAGAAGTCGCAAACTCAGACTGGTCATCAAGACTCGTGAGACCCCATGCGTGAGTAAGGGCAAGAGCATGCTCGGGCATGCCTCGAAGGTTTGCAGCTGCTACATGCTTTCCACCTTGGATTGCGCACAAACTGCTCCTTCTCTGCAGGGCGAGCTGCACACTTCTTTCTGTGTCGGTCCAGAGTATCTCACGATGCTTGATTTCGCATCAACATCCTTCCACTGAGAAACGGTGCTCTGAAAACGGCGGATACGACTTTCCGCCGAGCTGCTGGGCGACGCCGCAAAACGGCTCACGGAGGATGTAGCAGCTTCCCAGACAATGGCAGGAGGCACGGCCTCTGCTGGAGCTGGTGAAACCTGTGAAGCCTCATGGTCTAATGCAGCCTTCGTCCTTCGTCTCTCAGAGGGTCCTCTCACCAAAACCCGGACGAGACCCAAAAGATGAAAGCCCTCGGGGACGAGCCTGCCAGCAGGCAACATTGCCCTGGCGCCAGGATGCCATCATCGCCCGACCAAGGATCCGATTTTACTACGGATTTAGCAGAGATGGATGACAAGGTCAAATGTCGCAGTATGATATGACACAGTATCTCGTGATGGTGGGGATATGGTGCAATGACGTCATGTACTACGACATATGCTCCTACACATCTTCTCACACGACGGCCCAGGCCCAGCCTCGTCGGCAGCAACCAAACG